GCACGTGGGCTCCACTTTACAGCTTCCTTGTTCCCATTGAACAGATAAGGAAACAGAGGACATGGAATGACGGGCCCAGGGTCATAGCAGGTTCTCCTGCACCCCCTCCAGTTCTGCTCCCTCAGAAATGGCAAGAATCGCCCCAGGCCCTGCGGGATGTGACCCGACTTCCCCTCAGACCCTCCACCTCCTCCCCCCACACACCGGGTGCCCAGCTGTTGGGCACTTTGAATATGCCGAGCTCTTCCCACCGTGGTGTTTTCACAGGGCTGTCCTCTCTGCCTGGAGCACAGCTGTCCCGACTCTGCTCATCCTTCCGTCCAGTCCTCCCCTGAAGCCCCCATCAGGGTGAGGCTGGCTTGGACCCGTGGGGTGAATGCCTCTCCTCGCTGATTCACTCGACTCTTGTGATCGGATCACTGTCGAAGCCCCGTTGCCTGGTGCTGCTGCATATAACATTGTCCTGGAATGAACTTCAGAAGTTTATTTATTGGCACTCTGAGAATTTTGTCTAATTGGAACAAAAAGGTGAATTTAAGATTAAAAAATGAAAACGTGCTTTATGTGAAAGCAGGAAAGTTGTATGATTGGAGGTTGATTTCCATGTTTGGTTGAGCATCACCCTAGTTTTGAAGATAACTAGCAGTCATGTCTGTGAGCCTCAGCTTCAGAAGGATTGACCGTCTTCTCTTTGGTCTAGGAGAGGCCCCTGGAATTCAAGTGCACTCAGGTCCTGGGCAGTTGGTGTCCATCAGTGGTCTGCTACAGCAGGCAAGCTCATCTGGCAACTTGACACGGCCCCCTGGGTGGCCGGAGCAGAGGATACTCTCATGTGTCAATCACTGTCACCAGAACTGCCTGAGCCACATGGAGCAGGGCTGCTTCTTGGCCTGTCAGGGCTGTCTGCCACAGCACCTGCTGCCTGTCACTCATGTGCGTCCGCGCCCGCCTGCAGAATGTGGCCTGGTCTGGACATCTGTCTTCTATCAGGCACACACAGCAGGAAAGCTGATGTCTGTCCATGCACATGTGCGTGCTACAGGAACACACTTCCACACGCCTGCACCCATCCAGGGAGCCCGCCACCTGCCTCATATAACCTGTGCTGTGGTAGAACCTCACAAATTTAGATGACTCCCCCCGCCCCTGCCCCCAGTGCTCACCAGGAAGTCAGGAGCTGCACTTGGTTCATTGCAGACATCTCTATTTGAGGCTCAGTTGCCCCATCCCTGGTGACAAGAGTCTAATAGTAGCGGCCTTCCTTGGGTGAAGGGAGAAGAGGGGCATCCTTCATCATGTCCGTGCAAAGAGTGGGCTGGCAGGCACAGCAGAGCTGGGCGGTGCCTCCTGTGGACACTGATGGAGAAGTGGAGAGGGGGCAGCGGGGGCGCTGGGGCCATCGCCTGTGTGGGCAGCCTGAGTCCATGCTCACACGATCTACGGGAGGGGAAGAAACTGGGCCTGGAGTCTGAATGACTCACTCACCTCACATGAAATGCCTGTCCTTGAATCAGAAATCTGCCATCGTCCTAGATACGTCCCTTCCGCCCGCTGATCACTTCAACAGTCCAAATTAATAAGTGCTTTTGCCTTCTGACGTCCTCCCTGATCTCATCTGCCCCTCACACGGCAGCTGCTCCCTCAGTCCAGGCCCTGATCATTTCTCCATCGCCCGTGAGCAAAGCTTCCATGGGGGGCCTGGTTCACTGCCCCTCCCCTCGCAGCACTGTCCCTGCCAAGGGGTTCCTTGTCATCCAGAGTCATGCGGGTTCCTGGTCACACCCCCTGCAGACCCTCACAGAATGATGTTCTCCACCCTCAGCACACCTACATCACTGCCCACCTCTATACCGCCTCCTCTGGGAAGCCCTCTGGCTGGGTTAGCTCCTTCCTCTGTGCTCCAGCTGTTACAGATTTATTGCCCTGTGTGGTCATGATTGGTTTATGTGTCTGTGACTCGGCTCACTGTGAGCTTCTGGGGACAGTGGCAGGTCTTACTCATCTCAGTGCCCTCAGCTCCCAGGACAGGTTCTCGCACGTGGGAGGTGCTTAATGAGCGCTGGGTCCTGGAAGGCGCTCAGAGTGAATGGATGAGCTGCTTACAAAAAGGCCGAGGGGCTGGTGGAGAGACCACCGAGATGACTGAGAGATGTTTGGAGGAGGAGCGATGGAGTGGAGGGACTTCCTAAATATGGGTCTCCGTCTCAGAGTGAACCTGGGCCCCCCTCTTTCTCCACTCCTTTTCCCCTCCTCCCTGGGGGAGGAGGTAGAAATAAGTCTGGATAAGAGATGGACTGTCACTCTGTCCATCTGTTTGTCTGTCCTTTCTTTCCCCTCTTCCTTCCTTCTACCATCCATCCATCCTTTCATCTGATATTTATTGAGCGTCTGCTCTGGACCAAGCACACTGCTGAGCCCCAGAGAGTGAAGTTTTGGGGCCACCAGGACGAGCCCCTGGGGCTTTCAGCTGTCAAAGCTCCGTATTTCCTGCTTGTTCTTTGTATGCCCTGGAGGCAGGATGGCTCGGGGAGGGGAGGAGTGGGGTAGCGTACAGATGGCGCCTGACTGGGCAGCCCCACGGGCCGTACATTCACATTATTTCAATTTAAGACAACAAAAGATCAAAAATGTCTCCAGAGAGAAAAACAAGAACCTCCATCCAATTTGAGAGGAAAACTCACATAGCAGGAAGGTCAGGCCTGATTTGTGCTCTCAGAACAGAAGTTGGTAGGAGGAGGAGAATCGCTGAGATCTCTGATGGCTTCTCCAGAGATAACCAGCCACGTTCACTCGCGCTCGCTTCCTTTGTTCTTCAGACCGTTCCCTTCTCTCTGTGCTTGCTCTGGTGTCTGGTCCCTGGGAAGCCTCTCTCTGCTTGCCCGGGGGCCTGGTGCTGGGATGGATGCGAGTCTGTTTCCCCAGGAGCTGTGTCGGGGCCTGCTGGTTGCCCAGCCGGGTGGACCTGCGGGCAGTGGCTGCAGGTCAACAAGGCCTCAGCCCTGCCCTCCCTGGGAGCTGCCGCCCCAGGCCAGGGGCTCTCTGCCGTCACTGCCCTGGTCCCTGCCTGATCCAGGAGCAGGGCCAAGCAAGGGTGGCTGCAAAGGGTAATTGAGGGGCAGTAGTGGGGCAGCGCCCACAGGCCCCGGGCTGCTCCAAACCTGTCTGGTCAACGGATTCCACAGGGACTCAAACACAGCTTCCCGCCCCCCCCCCCCAGGGTTCTGGCGCAGTAGGTCTTGGCTGGCCATCTCCACTGGCCTGCCCCCAGGGCCATGGCCTCTCTTTGGCACCCACTTCCCAGAGGTCATGAGAGCTGAACTGGCTCTGCCTGATCAGTGAAGCAAAAGGGGAAAACATCCCAGTAAGAGCAGGCCGCCCTGACTTCTCGAGCTGTGTGAGGAGGCACCACTGAAGTTTCCAGAAAGCACTTGCCCTTGGGATGGAGCAGTCCAGGCTGCTCTCACCTTGCCAGCATCACAGGCAGGGCCTGGGGCTGGCGCCAAAGCAGAGGTGTGTCTCTGTTGGCCTCTGACGTGAGCCCATCTGGCTTGTGCCTGGTACAGAGAAAGAGCAGGGACAGGGGCACGGGGTTTCCTGGCACAGCCCCTGCCACTGAGTCTCTGCCTTCCGTCTCTGCCTTCAAAATGTGCACTTTCCCCCACTTTCAGGGAAAGTGAGCGTGTTATCCCCACCCATCCTGTATTTCTGTCCGCTCGTGGGACACTTTGAGGGGACCATAGGACGGGGCTCCGGCCCTGAGTGTGGAGGTGTGCTCCGTCCCGTGACCTTCCAGCAGGGGCATTCCCGGCTTTTGTAGCTTCTCACATCTTCGCTGGGCGCTTGAAATTCTACAGACATCTAAATCCGGACCATGGGAATGGTCGCCTCTGAGTGCCCTGCCCTCCAGCCCCGAGGGCCACCTGCTGCTGTTTTTACCTGCTGTGGGTTAATCTGTACACGGTTTAGGGCAGAACCAGCCTCTCGGTGTAGTTTAGCCACACAGCGGTGCCAGCATGAGCTGAGATGGTGACCTCAGTCCAGTGGAACTTCCCTCCAGGCAGACAGGCGAACCGGAAATCCCATTTCCAGTAAAAAGCTTATTCTCATTGGTCGCAGGAACCTTAAATGGCTAATTTAGGCATCAGCATCAGGGGTGGATCACCTTGTTCAGCTAAAACCAGGTTTGCTTATTTATTTATTTACTGGTGATGTGCGCAGACCTGCAGAGTTCACTTCCAGGAAAGTCTACATGCAGTGTATCTACCACCCGGACCAGGAAATAACATGGTCCAGAAGCTTCCCTGGTGTCTCCTCCCAGTTCCCGCAGGCATTTCTGCCCAGACCAGGACCTCGGCCAGTCGGTGAATGAGACAGAAGGGGATCTTAGGGGTGACAGAGCCGAGTGGGGCTCTGAGAAGCCAGAGGGGCTTCCTGAAGGAGGTGGTGTTTGCTCAGTGGGACTGAAGTGTTTTCTAGAATGATGGAGGTTACACCACTCGGGGCGGGGGGATGTGTGTGAGGGTATAAAGAAGCGTTTACCAAGGGTGCTTTCTGCTCTCCCCTGGGGCCAGGCCCTGAGGTTTGTGGCCTCAGACTGCGTCCTCCCCTGTTTCCAAGTGGCACGGAGTGACTCTCTGAACCCGGCCCCAGGGAATGCTGAGCTCGGGTGGCCCCGCAGCATCGGGAAGGAGAGCATGTTCTCTGACCTGTGACCACACAGGCAGGCCTGAGGCCTGCGTGGCCTTTCACAGCTGGAAGTTGTCTGGCAGTCAGTCGTGTAGTCCAGACACCCACCTGCTCCGCCTGCACATCTCAACAGCAATGGTTCCCTGGGCCCAGGGCCTGGCTGCTTCCAGAAGCAGGGTCTCACTGCCTCCATTATCAGGTCCTTGGAAAGTTCCTTTTTGACACATCTCAAGCCCGCGCAGCACCCCTGTGGATCTAGCCGGCAGGGCTCTCGTGAGAAATCTTAACCTTGTGTTTCGTCTGTGATTCTCCAGCTCCAAGAAGCCCAGGAAACGCCCCGAAGTGGCCGTGAAGCCCAAACCCTCGCCCCGGCTCACCATCTTTGATGAGGAGGTAGACCCTGACGAGGGGCTCTTCGGGCCAGGCAGGAAGCTCTCCGCACAAGGCCCTGCAAAGGGCGTACCCCGCAGGGACCGTAAGTAGAGCCCAGGGTGTTCCCACCCCTCTTGGTGTCCGCTCAGTGTCTTGGCCGGCCTCTGTGAGTGGCTTTGGACCTGCCACACGTCTTCTCCTTGTCCTGTTTCCATATGATACAGACTCAGCTCACGGAGATTTTCTGCAGGAGAAAGCTAGTCTCACACCTTGTTTCCCCACAGCCTGGAACTTTCTAGGGCTGTGTGTTTATTCTGATCATTCCTTGGAAGGGAGGGTAGTTTTCTCTGTTCCTTTGAGAGGGGTGATTGTGATTGGTGTAAAAGTGCCTTTGTTATATCTGTGGCCAGATGTGGGCACCGGTTGGAAAGTGGGTGCTGACCTGCCCCGGGCGTGCTGTGGCTCTAGGATTTGGATCCTAACAAGAGGTTTTGTGTCGCCCGCATAGGCCCACTGGAGGGTTCTGTGCAGAGATGAAAAAGGGAAAGACGAGCAGCCTTGGGACTTCTACACTTGTCCCTGGGTCAGCCCTTTCCTCACCCCTGCCCAGGTCCTCATCCAGGGTGGGGAATTGAAGTCACCCATTAATTCAGCCAACACCCACTGAGGGCCAGGCTCTGTGCTGGGCCCTAGAACATATTGATGAGTAAGACACAGTCCCAGCTTCAGGGCCTCCCATGGAAGACAAGACATCTCTTGACAATTACAGGATAGTCTGAATCTGTGACAGGTCTGAGCCGAACGTCAGTGCCTGTGGGGACACCAGGGAGGGCTTCCTGGGGTGGGGGTCAGGTGGGGGCTATAGATGAGCTGGATCCTGAAAGGTCACCAGGGTTTGTCCCACCTGCTGAATAAGTATATTCCAGGTGAAGAGGCCGCGGTCGCCTTTCCTGAAGGCAGCATTGAGCAGTTGAGACGGCAGAGGGTGGGGAGTAGACCCAGGCTCCTTGTAGGCTGGGATTGTGGTCAGAACAACGTCCAATCACCACTGCGTCACATCCCAGCAGGCAGCAGCCCCTGGCCAGTGGTTGGCACTCAGTAAGCACTTGTTGGAAGCCTGGGGTGCAGCCCTGGGGCTGAGCTGAGAGATCCAGTTGGAGCAGGTCGTGGGGAGCCTAGCACAGTGAGCTGAAAAGACCATTTCCTCCTAAAAGCAGTGGGAAGTCTGTGAGGACTTGAAACCGAGAGTGGCCCAGCATAAGGGGGCTGGGGGGGTGGGGCTAGGCAGACGGGGGCCAGGCCTGGTGAGCGCCTGTCCCTCGCCCCCACCTGGCCTCATTCCTGTGGTTCTCCTGTGCTCTGCTTTGTCCCTGCTCACTCTCTCCTGGCTGTGCCAGGAGACTGGGTCCGGCCATCTCTACCCTGCATCCCAAGGCAGCTGAAGATGGGCCAGGACTTCCTCTGACCACTCTGCTGCTGCCTTCTCTGCAGCCCTGAAGTTGTTTGACGATCCTGACCTCGGCGGGGCCGTCCCCCTGGGTGACCCCTTACTGCTGCCAGCTGTCAATGCAAGTGGAGGCCCCACATCCCGCCTGGGCCTCAGGGAGGCCTCCGAGGAGCTGTTCAGGTACCACCTGTCCCCAGCGATGCTTTGCCAGCTGTGAGAGTGGCCTGGACAGAGCCAGGGACCCGTCCCCCCATGGGAGCGTTTCACCAGCGTTGGCCTCCGAAGAGGGAATCCAGGCCTTTCAGAGACAGGGGGCTGTGGGTGGGAGCTGACCAGGAGACCACGAAGGGGATTCATTGAGGGGGGGTGGGTGATTAGCAGCTCAGCAAGTTCCAGAAAGGGAGAACTTCGTGCATACAAGTCTTTTTTTTTCTTTTCCACATTCATATTTTAATGGTTTGTATAAAGAATAATTAAATTACATAATTCAAGAGCAAGGGTAACTGGCATGAACAGCCTTGGGAACAAATCAAACTGACTCTTGGTAGCATGCAGCTTTCCCAGAGGGAGCAAAGCACAGATGTACTGGACAGTGGCCGGTCACTGTAGGGTCCCACCAGTGGGCTTTACAGAGGGGAGAGCGAGGCTTAATGTGCCATGTGGAGATTTATTGACAGAACGAGTGCAAAACATGTGCAAAAAATAGCCACTGCTTATAGAAGGCTTGCTGTGCATCAGATAGTGCACTGGACTCTTCACATGTTATCTTGTTTAATCCTCACGACAGCTTCTTGGGTAGGTGCTGTTATCTCCATTTACAGTAAATAGAGGTGGGAGAAGTAAGTGGCCCAAGGCCACAGCTCCCAAGTGACAGAGCCAGGACTGGAACCCAGGTCCGCCTGGCTGTGTGCTGTCTTCCCTCCTCCTTCCGGACTCTCTGAGCTCCGGGGGAAGGAGAGGCTGGGAGAGCCGTCTCCCACCCACCCCAGGCCAGCAGCTCTCCCTGGGCTTTTGCGTGTCTGCAGCTTTCTCAGTATGCTTGGCACTGAGCATCTCTCCATCGCATCATCCACGTCCCCCAAAGTGCAGGCTGTTCTTGGCGATTTACAGGACGCCGAGCTGTCTCTTTCCAGGGACAGTTCCGTGGCGCCGAGGCATGCAGTTCCAGGAGGCTGTCATCTGCACCCTCGTTAGCGGCGGCGGGCTATTGGGCAGCCCTGTAAGTGCCCGTTGAGCCTGAGTCACAGTGACAGCTTCTTGTCTTTACATCTCCCTGCGGCCCCGGGCATCTGTTCACTTGCATCCTGTGTCCTCGCCCCTGACGTCCCAGCAGGCTGGAGAAGCAGGGATTATTGTTATGTCGTTAGAGGAGAAACTGAGGCACAGAGAGGCGGAGTACTAGAGTCAGCCCCAAAGAGCAGCAAGGCCCAGCTGGGCACGTCCCTCGCAGGGAGCTTCTGTGTCTCCAGGACTCAGTGTGTCCCCACGGGACCTTCCTGGCATCATTTATTCTAAATCCATGATGCCAGCACTTTCTGATGTATGTTCTGCAGAACGTGGGTGTGGGGGGTGTTCAAAGGTGTTACCTTCAGAGGGGTTCTGTGGCCAGGTGACTGGGGCAATACCAGTGATGAGCAGGACTCTGTGGGCCTGGATGCCTTGAGGGGGAATCATCACACAGCATTTCACATCCTTATTGGTCCCTGGAGCCCTTGCCTGTGATGCGTCTGAGCACCCGCAGAGCACTTCGGAATCACTGCTTCAGAGAGTGAGTCCCGCAGCCCTGCCTTCACTCCACAGACACCTGGTTATGAGAGAATTAGCTTCTTGAGAGCAGAAACCATATTTTCTTCTTCTTTGTGTCTGCCCTCTGACTCTCCAAGCAGTAACGGGCTTCCTTACAATAAACTTGCTAATATTCATTCCCCAATGCTTTTACCACCTGTTCATCCCATCCCTGGCATCAGCCATCCCGAGGCAGCATGGAGGGGCGTGCAAGCAGGCTTTGGAGTCTGAGAGGCCTCCGTTTCCTCTTGCTGTGCGGCCACGCCAGTGCGGGGCCTCCAGTGTTGCTCTTTAGCCGAGTTCCGTCCTCTGCAGTGAGCTGGGGAGAAGAGTGAGACTAGGGTATTCGGAGCTCCCTCCAGCTCCTTGGTGGTTGACCTCACACCACAGGACCTGGAAGAGAAGGGACCTTGCGTTAGTGGGACCTCTTCTTAGCCATGACTCAGGGATCCCAGGTGGAAATAGGGCGCTTGGAAAGGGGTGCTCTGCAGCCACCTATATCCTCAGTGTGCCTGCCCCGCCTCCCACCACAGCTGGCCCCCACCTCCCGACTCAGGGCAAATCCAAGAGTCGTGGCTTTGCCAGGCAGTACAAATCCTGAACTTGGACACAAGCTTTTAGCTGCTGCTTTGTTTCCCTAAGGGCCCCTGTTTGAGGACAGTCCAGTCCCTCTGAGCTTTTCCTGGGCACTAGGCCTCCAGTGGAGGATGCAGGAGGAGCCTGCACCTGTCCCAGGGAAGCTCAAGGAAGGGCTGCCGCGTGGAGGGGGCCAGGGCGTGTCAGAACCAGGACACATCTGAGCTGAGGTTGCCAGGAGCAGCAGCCGTCCCTGGATGATGTCTCCGGGGATGGCCTGGAGCTCAAGGCAGCTGCTCTCTCTTTGAAGGCCTGGCTTGGACCGGTCCCTCTGGGTCCAGACTGGAAGGACACCTTTTGCTCGCTTCTCTGCCTCCACAGAGATTCTGAATTCTCCCTTTGGAGTGTGTGCCCCATCACAGGAGGTTGACCCAGGAAGCAGGCAGGGCGACCCCGAGCTCCTTCAGCAGCTGCTGCCTGGCAGGCAGCCCCTCAGGGAGGGTGTGCAGGGAACCTCCACACTCATGCAGGCGTCTGCCAGGCCCTATGGTGCCGGGAGTTGTTCTGACCAAAGACACATCTTCTCCACTCTTGTCTCTACCCAGCCCTTCTGTCTGAGCTGGATCCCATTTATGGATGGGGAGACTGAGGACCAGGGGGGTGGAGTGGCTTGAGGCCACTGATGAAGGAATAGCGGGGTGAGGAATAGACCTGCATTCTCTGGCGCACCGTGCTGCGCTTCTGTGTATACAGTGCTCTGCAGTCCTGTGGGTAGTGCTGCTGCTCCCATTTTGTAGATAAGGAAACCAAAGTCTGGAGAGACCAGATGGTCTGTGCAAGGTCCCCTGGGTCTCCTGCCTCCAGCGCCTGTGCTCTCCCTCCTTGTCCCCAGCATGGCTGAGTGAGGCATGTAAAGATACTCTTAGACACACGGAACCTCTCTGCCCAGGTGTGCAGCACCTGTCTGGATCTCTCTGCTGGTCCCTGGTTTAGGAAGCTTGGAAATGGCCAGGAACCCCCCTTTAAGAATTCCAGAACTGGCCCTTGGATTTCAGTGGGAATTTTCCATGTAACTGCCAAAGCCCCCAGGATACTGTTATCAGACCCTTCCCCCAGCCCTGGGTCTCCTGCTATCGCCTAGTTCCAGACCAGCCTGGCTAGTGCACAGCTTCTCTAGGAGGGCCCGGAGAGAGGCTGCCCCGCCCCTGGGAATGTCATTGGAGCCAGGAAAGCACACCGCCCACCCTCTGCCCAGCGCGGGGAGGGCGTGGAAGCGCCAGTCAGTTCAATCTTTCTCAGCATCTTATGGAAGCTGGGACATTACTGAAATAACCTCATCCAGCCCCTCACAGGTGGGGAAACTGAGACCCACGGAGGGAAAGGGCCCTGTCAGTGGTCACTTATTCTGCAGCTCTTCTTGCTTTAGGTCTTCTTTGCATCCCTGTGTCCCAGGTGGGACTGGCCTCTGTCAAGGGACAAGAGAAGTGACAGGAGGTGTCCTGAGGCCTGACCCCAGGAGACCTGCCTGAGGGTGCAGGGCTTTGGGAGGTTACCATGGAGTCCCAAGAGAAGCTCCTCCCTCAGGAAGGCAAGATGGGGTCTGGGTTGGGTCCTCCAAGGTGGCAGCTCCAGCAGTGTCAACTGGCAGGTGATTGAAGGGCCTCTGGGGGCCTGCAGCCTCCACATACAGAGGGACCCTTGGCCCTGGAGAAACCCCAGCCAGACCCTGGAGAATGTGCTTCAGTGCATTGGTACCCCAGGAGTGCAGACACACCGTGGAGACCCAGCCGTACCCAGCCGAGTCATGCTCCTCCACAACAAGCCATGGGCCCCAGGCCAGGCCCTTCATCTCTCTGTGCCTCTGTTTCGTAATATCTGCTACCAGATGGTGTTTTGTGATTATTAAATGCGTTAATGAATGTGGGAATGCCTGGCCGTAGTAGATGTTCAGCACCTACTAAAGCACAACGTTGATAGCGTGGATTGAATGGGGCTTCCGTTGTGCATCTGGTCTTCAGGAATTGAATTCCTGCACCAGGAGCTTCCTCAGGCAAAGAGGGCAGAGTGGGGCTGCGGCCTGCCTTGCTTAATTGCCATTCAGTTTCTGTGGCTGGTCCCGTGTGACTCTCACCCTGCTGAGGCCTTCAGTCTCACTCACTGATGGGCCATCAGGTCCAGCACCGTGACGGAGTCTTGCTGGGCCCTGGCTGAGGCCGCTCCAGCCCTCAGTGGGCTCTGTCTAGCGCCTGTGTGGCCCACAGTAGAGCATGTGGGCGGGTGTACCCCACCCCACCCCACCTGCCCACGGTCAGAGCCCCTCATTCTTCCTCTGGCTGAACTTGGCCTAGATGAGAGCTCAGCTTCTGGAGTCAGACATCCTGGTTCCGACTCAGGTGCTGCCACGTGCTGACTGTCACCTCAGGCCGGTGGCTTGGCCTCCTGGGGCTTGAGCATCCGTGTCTGCAGGGTGGAGGTTCAGGTGTGCCCACAGGTGTGGGGATAAAACAAGATAATGTGTCTAAAGTGCTTGGTACAGAGCAGGAGCTCCGTGTCTGGCAGCTGTTACTGTTGTTTCTTGAGGGTTGAAGGAAGAGTCACCACAAGAGGCCAGTGTGTCTAGAGTGGGGCCACCTGAGCCACAGCTCTCTGGAGGCTGCTGAGGGCTGGCTCTCCTCCCGCTGTGCTGTGGGTTTGCAGGGAAGGAGAAGCCTGCCTTCAGTTTCTCCTGGGGGGCAGGATGGTGGGAGGGCCAGGTTGGGGTGGGGCCTTGGCCCTTAAGGGGGGGTGGTCTGGGCCCCGTCCCCCTGGGGGTGCTGTTGCTGGGGTCCTTGCTGCCTTTGCGGGAGGTTATGATCAGGGCTTCTCCCTCTGGTTCCCTAGAGTCGAAGAGGACTTGGACCAGATTCTGAACCTGGGGGCCGAGCCCAAGCCCCAGCCTCAGCCTAAGCCCAAGCCGCCAGTGGCAGCTAAGCCAGTGCTACCCAGGAAGCCAGCTGTTGTCCCCAGAGCAGGCCCCTCTGAGGCCGTGGCCGGGCAGTGGAAGCAGCAGCAGCAGATCCAAGCCATGGACGAGATGGACATCTTGCAGTACATCCGGGACCACGACACGCCTGGCCAGGCTGCCCCCAGCCTCTTCTGACCCTCCCACCCCTGTGCTGGGCCTGGGCCAGCAGACCGTCTCCTGTGGGGGGGCGTGTGGTGAGGTGGGGATTTTGCCCTCAGGCCCAGGACCTCTGTTCCCATGGGAGGGAGGGTGGAAGCCCAGGACATAGGACCCCTATACTGCCTTGTTCCGTTTTCTCCAACCTGTGGGGTCACGCAACCCTGCAGGGTGCAGAGAGCGAGGTCACCATAGGAACCATAGGAATTGGAGCCCAAATTGTCTCAGCCACATGGATGTGGAGGGGAGAGCATGTGGGGATGCCTTGCTAACCAGGAGCCCAGCCCACAGGATAGAGTGAGACCGAGGGGCCAGGGAGGCTCCACTCGGGGCAGGGAAACTTTGTGCCCACTGGCTCTGCAAGCCCCAGCACAGGGAGGGCCTGGCCAACTTGGGGTGGGGGTCGGGGGTCCAGAGTCTCTGGGAAGCATGGCTTCTAGGGACCTGCAGGCTCTAGGAGGGTCCCTCAAGAGAAGGATACTGAGTGAGTGCCTGGGAGAGCCTGGTGGGGTGAGGTGTCCCTGAGCCACCTCTGCTTACCAGGTGCTAAGCAGGGTGCTTTCCCACGTGTCCACCTTGAGGGAGACGTCAGGCCAGCCCTGCCACTCTCAGGTACGGATGGTCTGACAAGCCCCACGTCTTCCTCCCTCTTCCTTTCCCAGGGAAGCCCTGGCCAGACCGTGGCCTTCTTGGGCCTCTGGCCATAGGACCCATGTCTGCTGTTGCAGCTCCGAGCAGAGTGGTCATAGCATCCTCTAGAGCTCTGCGTGGGCCTGTGGCCTGGGGTGTCCCTCCTCCTCACAGTGGCCCTAGATGGGATGCTCTCCAGCTGCTGCTTCCAGGGCCTCATCTGTCCAGTGGCAGATGCTGCCAGGCCTTGCCTGTCCTCCAGGTCTGGCCTTGCTCACTGGCCTTCCACAGTGGGAGCCGCCTTCACAGGGAGAAGGAGCCCTGTACCAGGGCAGGGCCAGTGCCTTAGACTTCTCCCGGACCCCACGCGCCCCAGCACACGGTCTGGGCATGGCATGGTGCTCAGGAAATTCTCAGTGAATGAATGATCTTTAATGGAGCAAAGAATGTCTTTTTTTGACATTTTGCCTTTTTTTGACATATTCTTCATGTTCGGAACTAGTTTTTGTATTATTTTTATTGTTGTTGTTTTTTATTTTTTTGTGTGTGTGAGGAGATCAGCCCTGTGCTAACATCTGCCAATCCTCCTCTTTTTTTTGCTGAGGAAGGCTGGCCCTGGGCTAACATCGGTGCCCATCTTCCTCCACTTTATATGGGTCGCCACCACAGCATGGCTTGCCAAGCACTGCGTCGGTGCGCGCCCGGGATCCGAACCAGCAAACCCCGGGCCGCTGCAGCGGAGTGCGCGCACTTAACCGCTTGCACCACCGGGCCGGCCCCAGAACTAGTTTTTAATGAAATGCAACCACTGTTATCCCTTGGCTTGCCCTGCCTGACAGAGGCATTGGAAGGGGGTTTGGGACTAGGACCCCAGACCCTTTCCTGATCAGGGCCAACAGCCAACCCTGAGGGAGGCTCCCCTGTCCTGGGCTGGTTGTTTGCTGCCATCAGAGGTTCTAGTGCCCTGCTCCCAGCCTGTGCCAGTACCTGCAGGGCCCGTGGGAGCGCTTCATGTGATCTGTCCTGCATCGCACTCACTCTTGCCAGCTGTCCAGTCCTGAAAAGGCCGCCCCCTTCACCTGTGCCTGAGTGGGAGGAAATAGGTGGTTCTGGTGCCAAGAGCTGAATTACTCCTCCTCCTCCTCTACCTTACCGGCTCCGAGGGCCCGCTCTCCCCAGGACCCTGAGCTGGCTCTGGGACAGCCTCGGCCCCCAGCACAAGCCACTCCTCTTCCCTTTCCCTGCCAGGCCTTCACACCCTCACCCCATAACCCAGCCCTGGGCCCTGCACCCTTGCTGACCACAGAAAGGCCTCGAAGGAGCAGTGGTGAGGCTGGGCCAGCTCTGCCTCGAGCTCTCTCCCCTCCCTGTTCTCCCCTCTATGCCCCATGCCGGCTCCCTGCTCCCCTCCCCCCACCTCCCACCACCATTTGATATAGGAGCAGAGGGCGCAGCCAGTAGGTGCTTGAGGGGGCTGTTCCTCTGATGGGGGTCACAGAGGAACGTGTTCACCCACTGTGGCTTGCCTCCTCCTCGGTGGCCTGGTGCTTTCCAGATACCTCAGCAAGGGCGTGTACTTGCCCAGATATTGATGCTCGAACTGCGGCTTGTTTTTCACTACAGGCCTGTGACCTAGTGGCCAATCGATGACACCCAGTGCAGTAAAGTCCATGTCAGTGACTCATTCCAGCATTTGTTGGTGGTGCTCTTTTCTGTGCCTGGGCTGATGGGGGACGATGGGGGGACTGTCTTTATAACAGTGGGCTCAGCAAGGGGAGCTGCCCTTGAAGGACCCAGGTTTGCCCAGGCTCTGCACAGCCTCCCAGGCTGCTGCTTGATAGGGTGGGGCGAGGGCAAAGGGAGGATTACACTGTGTAAACTGAGGCAGAGGGACCAGAGGTCCAGGCCTGGTGGGGGTCATCGGGTCAGTACCTGCTCAGCCAGGACCTGTTTGGGAAGAGGACCCTTCCCGTCTCCAGACCTCACCTCCCATTCCGCCTCCCCAGAGTGGGACTGGCCCTGTGGCCCTTGCAGCTCTGATCCCAGGCATTTCAGTCGAAGAAACCTGTCCATCTGTCCACAGACCTATCCTGCCAGAGCTCAGGGTCTGAGATGCTGCTTTGTGCCTGGGGTCCAGAGGTGCTGAGCAGACAGCTGTACAACGGACAGCCACTGGAGGACTACAACGGTCCCCAGGATCCAGGGAGGCCCCGTGCTGGGCAGCCTGTGAGCCCACCCTGGGCTCCCCCTACCACTGGGCCTTAGATCTTGTAGCTAAGCTCAAATCGGGGTCTTGGCTCCTGAGGACAAGCAGTTGGGCCATTCTGAGAAGGACCACTCAGCCCACGAGCCTGCAGCGGAGAGTTTGCCATGGAAGGAAGTCAGGTTTGATTGGGGCAGCAGCGTTGTTTGTTTTGAAGCTGTTGTGAGGCCTGTGGACGGGATGTGCCGTCTGAGGCAGGGTTCCTGCTCCCTTCCAGCATTGTTTCTCTCAGGAAGCCAGAAACTCCGGCAGTTCTCCTGCAAAGTCCCCATCCAGAGCCTGTGCTGGCCAGGCCATGCGGTGGGCTCGCTGGAGAGCGCCCCCCCCTTCTGAGCCCTGGCATGCCCTGACCATGTCAGTGCAATGTGCCTGAAACCCAGCTGGCCGCCACGTGCCTGGGGGCTGCCCCCAGGCTGGAGCCCTCACACTGGATGCAGACAAGACAGCAAATGTCTAGCAGCTCTTGGGGCCCTGTGGCCTTAGCGCCCAGCTGCCACCTTGGCGTTGTGTCAATACACTCTGTGATTTAACACCTGGTGTCAGGCTTTGGTTTGTCTCCACGCCTGTGATCTCCAGGGAGACCTGGTATGGAAAGTCATGCTCAGTTCTCCAGCTCACCAACCGTCCGGCTGAGTGTACCCTGGGAAAGAGAAGGGCAGCAGTTACCGTACCCTGGATGGTGGCCCTGGCCTGCGACAGGCACCTCCCCGTGCTGCTGCGTCTACATGTGGGTTGATGGCTGCCCAGGGCAGGCATGGTCAGCCCTCAGAGCCCCTTTTAGGGAGTGACCTCTGTGTCAAGTTTGCAATGGTGCCTTTCAGTGCAAACTCTGATCGCTCCAAACCATCCCCTGCCCAGCACCCTGAGGCCTCACACTAGGGAACAGGTGACCAAAGGGCCAGTGGAGGAATCAGCCATCAGGCTCCGTGGGCGTGGAAGGATCTAGGTTCCAGTCCAGCTCGGCTGTGTGATGCCCCTCACCCCGCAGTGCTGAGTGAAGAGACTTCCCTGGGCTCCCGTGAAGGGGCCAAGTAGACTGTACCATGTCATTCGAGCCCGAAGGAGTTTCTGTGGGCTGGTGACTAGTTCATCACTAGGGACCCCTGCCCAGGACAAGCTGGGCGCTAATGGGAAGTGGCAGGTTGTTGGATTGGTGGTAGGGGCACTGCCAACTTCAGCTCAGCCCAGCCTCCAGCCCCAGGCACTGACTGTTGATTTCCAGACGTTGTGCTACATGTGACACAGCAGTTGGGACCCTGTGTGAATACAACCTGGAGTACAAATGCTAATCCGTCTCCTCACTGACCTCTGGCTCTTGGTTTCCATGGCTCTGGCCACTGATGAGAGCCAAGGGGTTTCATTCTCAGGTCGCGCTCAGGATAAAGCCGCAGCCACGAGAGCGGGGATTGTGGGCTCAGCGCGTGGCCTCGGTAGGCGGGAGTCCCTGTGAACAACCTACCGAGGTGCTGACGCTTCTCTGCCTGCTCAGCAAACAGCAGCGGCCTCTAATCGCTTTTCCAGTAAAGCCGAGTTAGCTCCCCCAGGCCAGCTGTCCAACCGTGTCGTCCTCTTCCTCACACGCAGAGCTCATCCAAAAACACTAAGCGTTTACTGGCACCTAGTGTGTGCAGGCAGTGTGACATGACGAACACGGAATCGTGGGGTGAGGCATAGGACAGCAGGACAGATGCAGGTCAGCCCTTCTGGTCTAGAAGCTCCCCATCGCGCAGGGCGTCAGTCACAGTTGGTGAGTGAGCGAATGCAAGCTGTGGGGGGCTCGCCAAGTGCATGAACAAGACAGTGCAGAGCGGAGGGAGGTGAGCACTGTGTAGGAGGCACAGCGCTGGTGCTCAGGGGACGGGGAGGGAGCAATAGGGCCAGCACGGCCAGTGAACAGTTCCTGAGCACCCACTGGGTGCAGTACCTGTTCCGGGCATGATGGAGGATGCAGAGATGAAAAAAAATGAGCTATTAAAGGCGGATCTACCAGGCTAAGCCTCTGGTTTCAGTTCTGTTCTCTGGGCCTCCTGCCCAAACCTCAGACACAACCAGCAGAGGCGCCGCCTCCTCCGTGCAGTCCTCTCTGCCCTGTCATCCTTGCCCCTCTGAAACCCGCCAGCACATATACTGCACCGCATGCCACCTGAGCCCGGCTCTTGGTCACTGTATTCATTTCCTAGAG